ATACTCATGTAAAAGAAAAAAAAACATAAGGATAAAGGTGGTAAAATGGATTCACCAGAGTGATCCAAATATTTAAGGAAAGGGGGTTTCATCATTTGACAAAGATTACATAGGGCTTAAAAGAAGCGTTGTTATTAGGACTATATTTAATTTGTATGTTGAGCAATATATAATGTTATCCATATCATCCTCATCATGCACAAATGTGTAGGTAAATATGAAAGGGGTCTTTACTCTTTCACATAATATGCTATCAATGAAGTTTCAATAGGTGTCAAAAATTCATTTGAACTCCACAAGGCCTTTGTCGATAAGAAGACCGAGTGATATGAATAATATGGTTAAAATGACATCATAGTGATGAGGTTATCAGTGTCCCACCAATGGATTTGATGGATGAAGAGAGTGGGTCCTAAGTCATACATTATTTTGGGCATCGCATTCTCCATCCAATTGATTTGATTGGTGATGATAATTCCTATGGTCTTATTCTCGTGACCATATTTGTCATGTTGTATTTTGCATAACAAGAACATGCATGAGGATATGTTTTAAAAATGTTACAGTATTTCTATACTTATACTGCATTATTAAGTCTTAGTCAAGGGGTGGATATGTATCATAAAAATAATTGGGACCCTATCCCTAATGAAGATGGAGGATAGATGACCTTATAAAAAAAAAAACAAAAAAACAGTAGAGGAAGAATTATGCGAGAGCAAGGAGGTGATACGTAAAAGTGGAAGATGAGGGGATTCACATGAGAGAGAAAGAGAGGTGTTATCTTATGTCCTTTATAATTCAAATAAAAAAAAGTGGAGATTTTAGGATATGGGTTAGAGATTTTAAGATAGGGTATAGAGAGAGGTGGTCTTTAGAAAGAAAGACAGAGAAGATTAACATGAGAGATATTTTTGTTTGGATGACCTCTAAAAAAAGTAGAGATTTTAAGGTCTAAATAGGATTTTTGGGCTGTGTATTTGAGAGAGAGAGAGGGTCTAAATAGGGTTTTTAGGCTGTGTATATGTGAGAGAGAGACTTGATCGTGGCAGTTTGAGAGAAGAAAATGAATATGAAATTTTAGAAAAGAGAGAGAGAGAGAGAGAGAGAGAGAGAGAGGAGAGAGGAAGGGAAGGGAAGAGAGAGAGAGAGAGAGAGAGAAAGATAGAAGTAAGTAAGTAAGTAAGTTTAATTTTAATTAATATATATATTACTATTCTTACTTACTACTAGTTA